GAATGTAGCAGCCTGCCTGCTTAGTGAATTGTTCCCATTGTCTTTGTGAATTCCCCCGGAGTATAAAACAGATAAAAGTTTTAAGGCTCTTTCACATTGCCAGAGTGGTGTAAAGCAGTGGTTCTCAAAGCCAGTCCGCCACTTGTTCAGGGAAAGACCCTGGCAGGCCAGACCGGTTTGTTTACCTGCTGCGTCCGCAGGTTTGGCCGATCGCAGCTCCCACTGGCCGCGGTTTGCTGCTCCAGGCCAATGGGGGCTGCAGGAAGGGCGGCCAGCATGTCCCTTGGCCTGCGCCGCTTCCTGTAGTCCCCAGTGGCCTGGAGCGGCGAACCACGGCCAGTGGGAGCCACGATCGGCCAAACCTGCAGACGTGGCAGGTAAATAAACTGGTCCGGCCTGCCAGGGGCCTTACTGTAAAGGACAGTATGGCCTTATAAATACTTATGGTGCTTTCATGATTAGAACTGGTCTACATTTTTGGATTGAAAAAATTTCCTATCAAAATGTGCTCCATGAACTGTTTGCTACTGACCTTTCTGAAGATGGTCAGTAGCCAATATAAATTGCGAGTCTGATTCCCCAGCCCTCACTTGCTCGTCTGTTGCCTATGAGGTAACACCGAGCATATGGCTGCATATATTTGTTGTCTAATAACTAGAAATTAAGGGTCAAACCTAGCTACATTACTATTTGGCAAGGGTCTTGGGGATTTCCTCCATTGCTCCCGACTCTCATTCGCCATCCACCTTATTGTAGTTTAAATAAATTACCAAAATAATTGAAATCAGAGTGATTATATTGTGTTATTTTGACAAATAAAATATGAAGACTTTTGCAGAATTTTAAAATATTGTGCGCAGAATTTTTAATTTGTTGCAGAATTCCCCTAGAAGTAACTTTTATAAATTAAAAATAAATACCCTGAAGAACTCCAAGGAATAGAAAGTATTTTTTAAATAAAAGGATGTGGAATGAGACCGGGGGAAATACAAAGTTATTTAGGAACATAGGACTAGGAGAGGCCTCCTGGGTCGAAGCCAATCCCCCGCTATTGCAGACAACCCTCTCATATATAATTCTATTCAGAAACCTACCAAGCTCCATCTTAAAACTAGTTAGGTTGTTAGTCCCCATTGTTAACTCCCTACTGGGAGGCTGTTCCAAAACATCACTCCTCAGATGGCTAAAAACCACGTTCTAATTTCCATCCTGAATTTATGGGCAGAGCTATCCATTCATTCTATGTCAACATTATCCTTTAGCTTAAATAGCTCTTCTGCTGTTTAACTCCCCCAGCACCTGCAATGTATTTCAAGAGCAATCATAACCCCTCTCAGCCTTCATTCTTCTAGGCTAAGCAAGCCATGCTTTTGGTCTCCTCTCATAAGTTAGGTTCTCCATTCCCCTGCTCATCGTGGTAGCCCTCCTCTGCACCTGTTCCAATTTTTAAATTTTTTTTTTAAAATGGGTGACCAAAATTGTCCATAGTACAGATAAGGTTTTACCATCACTTCTATTAATACTTATCTCTACTGGAAATACCTTCCCTGATGCATCCTAGGATTGCATTTGCCTTTTTCACCACCACATCACACTGATGGCTCAGTTATCCTGTGACTGACGAATACGCACATGCCTTTTTATCATTTCCACCTGATCTAGGGTGATCATATTTCTCTATGCTGAATACGGGACACTTGGCAAAGGTACTCATATTCAAGCGAGTTCAATGGCAATTAAATCAGAACTATGCAGTACAAACATTCAAATTAACAAACAAGTTGACTGAGCCCGTTAAAAAGAAATCCTGTATCGTTGGCTTCTTTTGATTTACCCTCTTATCTTTAAGGTTCACATGGGGAGGGGTGACACACACACAGTCCCGTACACCTCTCTCACACAGGGATGGTGACCAACCGACCTGACCCTCCCTGCCCATCGCTCTCCACCCTCCTTGCCTGGCTGGGCCTCCGGCATGGACCTGCCTCTCCTGGTACCTGGCGCTGCGTCTTCCCAAGGCAACAAGTGGGGAGGCATGGAGGGTCACATAGTCCTCTCCCCAGATTTCTGCCAGGGTTCACACCAGAATGTGGCCAGCAGCAGCCTTCTGGCATTGTGTTGGAGGGAACGGACGGGAGCTGCTTCCAGCCACAGGGGTAGGGGTGGGGGAGGGATGACCTGTAGAGTCTTTGCAGAGCTCATCTCTTCTCTCCCCCCACCCCCCATGTAGCTGGAAGCAACTTGTCCCTTCCTGCCTGCATTAGTGTCGAAAGACAGCTAACACTTCCAGGCTGCTGCTGGCCACCAACATAACCCAGCTGCCTTTGGCTACAGCATGGGCAGGAAGGGGTTAAGCCCTAAGAATGCATTGTGCACCAGGGCCCAGGGAACCTGACTGCACAGGCTTCAGCGAACCTGGCCAGAGAGGTGGCTCAGCAGGGGAGGATGCCTAGGGGATGGAGCAGCCACGCTCCCTGGGGGCAAGACCCAGGGTGATGGAAAGGGTGGGTGAAGAGGGTGCTAAGTCCCTGCCCCGGGGTTGCTGTGGAGCCTGCAGGTTCGGGGCATGAACAGGCTGGAAATCGCTTCCCCCCCCCTCACTCCAGAGCTTAGCTGAGGGGTGGAGAGGCTTCCCTGTGCCAGAGCTGTGCGGGGCTTTGGCACATACGGGACTCTGCTCCTCCAAGTCAGCACCCCGGGCCGGAGGTTCTTGGGCTTTCCTGCAGTGGGAGAAGGAAGGAGCCTGCCAGCCAGGCTATTGGTGAGTTGAGCGCTTTGACCAGGGGCTGGGGGGACAAAGCAGGGCGTGGACAGCGAGAGGAGGACCATGTAGAGGGCCAATGGATGGGCAGCAGAGGGGACATGTAACTGGCTGCCGCCTGGCGCCTCCCCACACTCACCAGCCACCACAGTGCACAGCCAGCATGAAATGGGACGGGGCCCTGCTGGCCAAAAACCAGCACACAGCAGGGGTTGCGCTGATGGACCAGCAGGGGGAGCAGCCAGCCCCACGCGCTGCATCTTCGCCCCACCACTAGCCTTTCACATCCACCCCCATCAACGGCCACTAGACCCCACCCCCCTCACCGCTGGGCGGGAGGCTGTCGAGCAGGGATCAAGCCAGCGGGAGGACCCACCAGTACTGATGTGGGGGGGGGGGGGGACAGAAAATATGGGGCAATTTGCCCATTTTAAAGAAAAAGTCGGGACACCCACAGGAGGGCTTAAATACGGGACATCTGGTCACCCTAACCTGACGACACCCCAGTTCATAGCAAAAATTCTTGTTAGTCCCTAAATGCATGACCCTGCACTTTATGCTATTAATTTTAATTCAATTTCTATTACTCCAGTCCTCAAAGTCATCCAGTTCTTCCTCCTCTGTATTGACGATGCCTCTCAGCTTTGTTAGACTCATGCTCTGGTGACCCTGAGTCTCCATAAATTGTGTCCCTGACCAAGCATGGAGAGGACCCAGCCTCAGTAAGACCAAGCAAGTTAAGAATGTTGGCCAAACAGCATTCCTAAATGTCAAGGCACTGAAGAAGAAACTTCAAAACACAGCTCTGCTCTTAGATCCAGTATTCAACTGATTTCACAAGCAGAAGGTTTTTTGAACTATGTGCCCCTTTGCCCCAGTGAAAACAGAGATCTGCATACTGTCACTATAGAGAAGAAGCACAGTAAGGGAAAACAGGTGGATCTTTATTCCTGTGGACCTATTGGAACATCCAAGCTACACAGACCAAATGATTATCACAGTCACCAATTCTGATACCTCCAGAACAGAATTCAGCCTGCAAGATGACTGCCTTCAAAATCAAACAGCACCAAAAGCTGCCCTTTCCTTGGAGTCTTAACTGTGAAATTATTCTCTGTTCACACCAGCAGAAGAGGTAGATGGTGAACTCAGTATGCAGATATGAGGGCATCAAGAGTTGCTGCAGGAACAGAATGCGTCTAATAATCTCAGAACTATACTGACTCAACACCAAAGTTCCCTCCACCCCAGCCATGATGGTGTGGTGTAACAGCTATTCATGCTCCAAGGTCTTATTTGGAGTTTTTGTTGCCCTGATTCACGGATGCTATATGGCCAGGCAGTAGAACCTCTTTTAAGTAAGCATTTTCAGCCAGCTTGTTTCCTCCTGGGCCTGGGAATAAAGGCAACACAAAGATTCTCCAAGGCAGACCAGACAACAGATGTACTGATCACATATATTTTGGTAACAAGAGGGGCACCCTCTTGAAATCTGATTTCTTGCCAACATCATCCATGGTGTCCTATGAAAAGTCAATTATAGAAAGATAAACACTAGAAAGAAAAGAATCTAATATTGTTTCAATTAAAAAATTGTATATGTACAACACACACATGCACCGCTTCTCTAAGGGGAGAGAGAGGGAACTTGAAGGAGAAGGTTCTGCAACCTACTTAGACCAGGGAAAAAAGGGAATGGAGGAACTACAGGGCGAGCCCTTCATTATACAGGTTCTAGAACATTTGGGTCCGTGCCCCAGGTGCTCCATTACCCCCAATAACTGCTATGGAATCACTGTGCTGCCTATGCAAGAGTATGTGAGCCAACTTCAGAATAGGGGGGATCAACTAAAAACAATTCATGAAGAATATATTCCACTTTAAAAACAAAACATTCACACTCATTACAGATGGCTTAAGATGACAAAACACTGAAGTAGTTTGCACACTGCATGTAATTTGTGAACCCACAAAAGAAAATTACCGTTATCCCATGATCAGCTTACCACGTCCACAATATGGCTGCCCAGGGACAAATTCTACAGCATTCACCCAGTCTTCAGCACCTGCTCCTGTAGCTGCCAGATCTGTATCTTTAACTTCAGTCTCACCAGTGCTTGCTTCAAGTGCTTCAGGGAGAGATGGGAGGTCTGAAGATGCTGATGGATAAGTTTTTGCAGCTGGATTCACAGTAGTCACTTCTTCCCGCTTCAATGGCTTGGTATGTTCATATCTAACAAATTAAATGCTGCATGTGAACTCAGTAAGAAGTCACCCATACAACAGTCTTGTACAAAGGACTGATACACAAGCACAGGGAAATGGAGTCACTGAGGCATAATACCAGAGGTGCCCTAAATATCCCAGAGCTAGATTAGAAAAGTGACCCTTTACATAAACAGAAACAGTTTACTTTAAAACCTACCAGCTCTGTTTAAGGGGACAGTAGCTATTGGTGATTTTGCAGGAGATGAAGCAGTCCACAGCAAATTTGCCTGTGTGCTTCTTACAACAGCTTATTTCAACCATATCTGAAGCTAGCCCTTTCAAAGCACATGCAGATATGCTATTATTGAATACTTCCTACTTGCTCAACATTAATCACTGTGCCTCATTCAAATATCCTTCTGTCTAACTTCAGACATTAAAAACCAAACAGCTACTCTGACTCAGTAAACACACTTTCCCCATCCATGGATGTAAGGCCAGGGAGTTTGATGAGCACAAAAGGTGTCACTATTTCCTAATGAGAGACCTTAATCCCCTATGCACCAAGAGACTGAAAATGTTGCTTCCTTAGAAGTCCAAGTCCTGACAGCCATCAGGCTCCACAGACTAAAACATTAGTTTCATTTGCAGATCTGCGATTTATTTTTCTGTTAATATTTCAGAGGTATTTGCCAAAGATTTTTACACTGATGAGAACAGTAATGAAGAAGATACAATTGTTAAAACATAAAGGCGAAGAAGTACTCAGTCTGATTGGAGTGGGCATCCTAGTTCTGTGTAAATCAGTAACATTCTCAAAGGGAAGTCAACCATGCCTCTCAGCATGGTTCCCTTGCTCTTTCAATTGAGAATCTTAAGCCTTCACACATCTTCAAATGGATGATGACTAAGCCCTGGTCTACACTACAGGGTTAGGTCGAATTTAGCCACGTTAGGTCAATTTAAAAATGACTGCCTCCACACAACCAACCCCAGTCCGTTGACCTAAAGGGCTCTTCAAATAGACTTCTGTACTCCTTCCCACCAAGGGGAGTAGCGCTAAAAATAGACTTTGCTGGGTCGAATTTGGGGTAGTGTGGACGCAAATGGACGGTATTGGCCTCCGGGAGCTATCCCAGAGTGCTCCATTGTGACTGCTCTGGACAGCACTTTGAACTCTGATGCACTAGCCAGGTACACAGGAAAAGCCCTGGGAACTTTTGAATTTCATTTCTTGTTTGGTCAGCATGGCGAACTCAGCAGCACAAGTGACCATGCAGTCCCCCCAGAATCGCAAACAAGCTCCAGCATGGACCGAACAGGAGACACTGGATCTGATTGCTGTATGGAGAGAAGCATCTGTGCAGGCCAAACTCTGATCAAAAAGAAGAAATGCAAATATATGCACCAAAATCTCACAGGGCATGTTGGAGAGAGGCTACAATAGGGGGACACAGCAGTGCCGCGTGAAAGTTAAGGAGCTCAGGCAAGCCTACCAAAAGAAAGGAGGCAAACGGTCGCTCCGGGTCAGAGCCCCATACATGCCGCTTCTATGATCAGCTGCATGGCATTCTGGGGGGAGGAGACACCCTACTACTATCCCACCACTGTCCGTGGACACCTGCAAAGGGGGAGGGGGGTCTCACGCAACAGGGAGGAGGATTTTGTGGATGAGGAAGAGGAGGAGAAGGAGGAGAATACACAACAGGCAAGCAGTGAATCCGTTCTCCCCGACAGCCAGGACCTTTTCATCACCCTGGAGCCAATACCCTCCCAAGGCGGGATCCCCGACTCTGAAGCTGGAGAAGGCACCTCTGGTGAGTGCACATTTGTCACTAAAGTACAGGGTTTTAAAGCAATAGTGTTTAATGTTTGATTTGCCCTGAAGAACTGGGATGCATTCGCGGCCAATACAGCTACTGAAAAAGTCTGTTAATGTGTCTGGGGATGGAGCGATAATCCTCCAGGGACATCTCCATGAATCTCTCCTGGAGGTACTCTGAAAGCCTTTGCAGAAGGTTTCTGGGGAGGGCTGCCTTATTTTGTCCTCCACGGTAGGACACTTTACCACGCCAAGCCAGTAGCAAGTATTCGGGAATCATTGCAGCACAAACCATGGCAGCGAATGGTCCTGGGTTTTGGTTGCATTCAAGCAACATTCGGTCTATATCTTTCTCTGTTAGCCTCAGGAGAGTGATATCATTCAGGGTCACCTCGTTGAAATAAGGGAATTTTTGTAAGGGAACAGTAAAAGGACCCCGTTCATGCTGGGCTGTTTGCGCTTGGCTAAAAAGGGATCATCCCGGAGAATAGCCACGCAGTGGGGGGAGGGGAGAAGGGATCATCCCAGAGAATAACCACACGGAGGGGTGGGGGGAGGTGTGTTCTGCACACCCACTCGAAAACCACAGCCCCTCCTTTTAAATGTGAAACCCAACCAGCATCGCTTGCTATGGAAAAGGAGGGCGCTGCAGTTTGAAAACATTCCTACATGTTATAAAGGCGTAAAAAGCCAACCCCACGTACCAAAAGGCTTACCATGGCTGCCTGGAATTCTGTTGCCCAGCTTTTACCAGCAGGCGCTCAATATAAAAGGCAAAATGCAACCTTGTACCTAAAGCACATGTGCTGTCTGCTGTGAATTGCTTGATTCACTGTGAAAGAGTCTCCCTTTTATTCTCAGAAATGTATCTTAAATTTTACTCTCCCTTTTTATCTCCCCCAGGTGCAAATGTTTCTACGCTCCCCCTACCATCTCTGTGCCTGAGGTTATCGCAGATTAGAAGACGAAAAAAAACGCACTTGCAATGACATATTTGCCAAGCTCATGCAGTCCCCCCGCACTGATAGGGCACAGCTTAATGCATGGAGGCATTCAGTGGCAGAGGCCAGGAAAGAATTAAGTGAGCATGAAGAGCGGAGGCAGGACACGATGCTGAGGCTAATGGGGGAGCAAACAGACATGATAAAGCATCTGTTGGAGCTGCAGGAAAGCCAACAGGAGCACAGACCCCCAGCTGCATCCAATGTATAACCGCATGCCCTCCTCCCCAAGTTCCATATCCACCTCACCCAGATGCCCAAGAACGTGGGGGAGGAAGCTCCGGGCACCCAGCCACTCCATTCCAGAGGATGGCCCAAGCAACAGAAGGCTGTCATTCAAACAGTTTGATTGTTAGTGTGACTACAATGTGGCCTTGTCCTTCCCTCCTCCCTCACCCCACCCGGGCTACTTTGTCCGTTATCTCTCTTTTTTTTTAATTAATAAAGAATGCATGGTTTCAAAACAATAGTTACTTTATTTAGAAGGGGGGAGGGTGGTTGGCTTACAGGGAATTAAAATCAGCAAAGGGGGCAGGTTTGCATCAAGGAGAGAGACACACACACACACCCCTGTCACACTATAGCCTGGCCAGTCATGGAAACTGGTTTTCAAAGCCTCTCTGGTGCGCAGTGCATCTAGCTGTGCTCTTCTAATTGCCCTGGTGTCTGGCTGCTCAAAATCAGATGCCAGGCGATTTGCCTCAACTTCCCACCCCACCATAAATGTCTCCCCCTTATTCACAGACATTATGGAGCACACAGCAGGCAGCAATAACAATGGGAATGTTCGTTGTGCTGAGGTCTGACCTAGTCAGCAAACAGCGCCAGCGAGCTTTTGAACGTCCAAAGGCACCATTTTGCACTTGCTCAGCCTATAGTTGAACTGCTCCTTAATACTGTCCAGGCTGCCTGTGTAAGGCTTCATGAGCCATGGGAGCAAAGGGTAGGCTGGGTCCCCAAAGAAAACTATTGGCATTTCAACATCCCCAACAGTAAATTTCTGGTCTGGGAAGTAAATCCCTTCTTGCAGCTGCTTGAACAGCCCAGAGTTCCTAAATATGCGAGCATCATGCACCTTTCCCGGCCATCCCACGTTGATGTCGGTGAAAAGTCCCTTGTGATCCACCAGTGTTTGCAGCACCATTGAGAAGTACCCCTTGCAGTTTATGTACTGGTTGGCAAGGTGGTCTGGTGCCAAAATGGGATATGCATTCCATCTATCGCCCAGCATAGTTAGGGAACTCCATTGCAGCAAAGCCATCCAGTATGACCTGCATATTTCCCAGAGTAACTACCCTTGATAACAGAATGTCAATGATTGCACTGGCTACTTGGATTACAGCAACCCCCACAGTAGACTTGCCTACTCCACATTGATTCCCTACTGACCGGTAGCAGTCAGGCATTGTAAGCTTCCATAGGGCTATCGCCACTCGCTTCTCAACTGCCAGAGCAGCTCTCATCTTGGTATTCCTGCGCTTCAGGGTGGGGGAAAGCAACTCACAGAGTTCCAGGAAAGTGGCCTTACGCATGCGAAAGTTTTGCAGCCACTGTGAATCATCCCATACCTGCAAGACTAAGTGGTCCCACCAGTCTGTGCTTGTTTGCCTGGCCCAGAATCGGCATTCCACTGTATCAACCAGCCCCACTGTTGCCATGATGTCCCAATTGCCACAGCTCATGCTTTCAGGAACATCTGTGTCCATGTCCTCATCAAAATCCTCCTCATGCTGGCGTCTCTGCATATAGTCCAGGATAATGTGCGAGGTGTTTACAATGCTCACAACAGCAGTGGTGATGGCGAGTGGAGTGGGCTCCATGCTTGCCGTGGTATGGCATCTGCACGGGTAACCCAGGAAAAAAGGCGCAAAACGATTGTCTGCCATTGCTTTCACGGAGGGAGGGGCAACTGACGACATGCACCCGAAACCACCCACGACAATGTTTTTGCCCCATCAGGCATTGGGCACTTAATCCAGAATTCCAATGGGCAGCAGAGACTGCGGGAACCGAGGGATAGCTACCACCAGTGCACCACTCTGTAAGTCAATACTAGCCAAGGTAGTGAGGACGCACTCCGCCGACTTAATGCGCTTCGTGGGGACATACGCAATCAACTGTATAAAATCAATTTCTAAAAATCGACTTCTATAAAAATATAAACCTAATTTCATAGTGTAGATATACCCTTAGTGGTATAGGCCAGAGTATAAAAATGGCTGTTCAGAGATTTCCGCAGGTTTACATTCATATAATAGTAATTCCACTACCCATGAGAGAGAAAAAAAGATTAGATTTTGTACTAGGTTTTATTTTGATATCATTAGTGTTCCTGCAGTGTGCAGCTGTATACAATCATGCTATAAATATTTGACTATATGCAGGTTTCACTAACTAGGATGTTAAGTCAGAGACCTAAGAGTAGCCTTTGAAGTTTATTCAATTTATGACTGTTTAGCCTTGCTAAACCTGTTCCACATTGGGACAATTTCAAAATCCTTTGCATGCACACTCCTCTTGTCAGAGAGTTACAGGCTTCTTATTTTAAGTAAGGTTAAGCTTGCATGAGCAAGTTCACACCTGTTTGCACAGACAATACTTTAGATGCCTCGCTACTATACTTCAAAGTTATATTCCCTAGAAAGGGCCTTAAAAGCGTCACACGCTCACTTTTCAACAGCTATGGGTACAATCAGAAGCACAGATGAAAGGGGAATCAGTTATTTCTGAAGATAACGACCCACTTACCAAGTGTAACTGATTATCGCACCAGCCCTGTCAGTTTGAAAAAGTCATCTAGATTTTGACAAATAGGTCTAATTATGCAATTGTTATCACACATGCCAGATCTGAATTCTGCTTGTATCTGAACAATGGTCTCCTCCCTCCCTTTCCCTGTTTATTCCTGCTGTGAAGTAAGCAATACATTTGAGACATCACTGTAGGACTCAGCAAAAAGGAGGAGGTGGGTTGTGAAGGAGAGATTCTTATTAAAACAATTTGGCAGTTTCAATGGAATATAGGAAAATATTGCTCAAGTTTTGTTTTCGCTCTTATTTTCTCCCATTAATAGACATCCTCCATTGAGTCTTACACACTGGAACTTGAGGATGAAAGTCCCTCTTTCAAAAGAAGTAACATTCAGTAATCTTTCCTTACCGGCAACGATCTCCGTAAGCACAGCATCCTCGCTGATAATACCTGCACACCATAGCAGACTGACTTGTGGAGAGATCATGGGAGTAACGGCAGTTGTTCCCTTCCTTGCAAACCCCATGCATGAAATACCTGCAAGACAGAAGATTACAGAAGTGGACCAATGGAAGAGCTATGCAGATTAGGATTTTCAGATATATTACCATCCAAAGTAAATGTAAATGTAAATGAAATGAAAGCAATGTTGAATTAATAAGAACTTCAGTATTAGAGAGTGATGAGCTCCTGGACCACATGCCAATGTAAGGCTATAAATAAAGTTTAAATGAAGGTGATTAAGAATAAATCATGGTGAGAGGTACCCCATTTTAAATGCACCTGGTTTGTACTTCTAAATTTAAGATTATGTTGAGAGACTGCAAGGGTAGACTGCCAAGAAGAAAAAAAAGCCAGTGAGCCACATGCTGCCCCAACACTCTGGTGCAGAGGGTAGCAAAACCCAGGAGGAGGAAATTGGAACACCAATTCTGTGAGGAGAATAGCAGTTTATTCTCTTACTTTGACCCAAGTACCACAGAAGCCCATTGATGGCTCTGGGCCAGGGAAAAGCCAAAACATATTCCCCAGGGGGCTGAAGTCTACCTGAAAGATACAGCTGGTTGTACAAACAGTAACACCCACCTCTAATAATACAATCTCTACCACTGAGGCCTTCAGTACGGTCACTGAAGACGATATCAGCAAAGTTTCTGAAGGAGCTAAGCTGCCATAGTGAAGTCAGGATCCGAAGGAACCTTGCAGAGATACTCTGCCTCAACAATATGTGTCTGCTGCCTGCAAGCATCATGAAATCAGCACCAATTTTGGGCCATCAGTAAATTCAGATTGCTGAACTCCATGGCAATCCTGCTCCTTGCTGGATGACTTGGAAGAAACTGAGTTTCCTACCCCATACTGATAGTGAAGCTCTTCACTCAACCTTTAAAGATAATCAGAACTGGAAGGGACCTCGAGAGGTCATCTAGTCCAGTCCCCTGCACTCAAGGCAGGACTAAGTATTATCTATACCATCCCTGACAGGTGTTTGTCCAGCCTTCTCTTAAAAATCCCCAATGATGGAGATTCCACAATCTCCATAGGCAATTTATTCCAGTGCTTAACCATTCTGACAGATAGGAAGTTTTTCCTAATGTCCAACCTAAACTGCCCTTGCTGCAATTTAAGCCCCTTGCTTTTTGTCCTATCCTCAGAGGTTAACAATAATTTTTCTCTCTCCTCCTTGTAACAACCTTTTATGTACTTGAAAAGTATTATCATGTCCCCTCTCAAAGTTAGCTTAAATACTGTAAACGAAATTCACTTGAATATCATGGTTATAATTAAACACAATTAAACTTAACACAACATTGTTCTTGAGATTCAAAAGTCAGGAAATTCAAAGTTCTCACTGCATAATAGTCACATTGCACATATTTTAGAATACCATATATGGTGCTTACATATGCCTACATATGTCCCTGAAAGGCAGCTTGAGATAACATTATGGTTCAAACTGTAAACACAAGTATAGATTCATATTCCAGATACTAGAAATTAAGTCATGACACAAGTGTTCAGATTCCAAAGTGAGCATTTATAAAATTTATATTAAAAGGTAAGATAATCTTTAAAATTTAGCTGGAAGCAATAAGCTAAACAGAACACTATTACATCCTGAGAGACTGAACCGGAAAAAGTAGCCACTCAAACTTCTTACATTTTATAAGTAATGTCGCTTCTCAAATTTAGTTATCAGAAAACTTTAGCTATCAAACTCAACAACTATACTGATTTCAATATATTCAATATGTTTGAGAAAGTCAATAAATCAGAAACGTTCAAGAGAAGGTATAAATTTGAGGACCCGCCCCCCCAATTTACCATCTCAGGATCAAGATATACAAGTTGGTTTATAGCAATGAATCCTCATATGATCCTTCTTCATCAAAGACCAATTTAATCATTTTACCTAGGGAGCCCCTGAATTCTAAGTTAGCCCTAATGACACACTGCTTGTAGCAACAGCTGTTTCTGAAGGGTTGGAATTACACATACACGGAGAACTAATTAATTTGGTTGTAACATGATTCAAATACAGATTCTTCGTGTCCTTTCAAGTTTAACCATGTTTTATGAAACCTGAACAGATCATCAAGGTCTGTGGGAGATTTTGCTGATGTGTCAAATGGAAATTAGCACAGTTGGAATTAGTAGCTGGACCAAGCAGATTTCTTTAGGAGCTC